AATTGGGTGAATACATCTCATACTACTGATTTACTCGAAGAAATACTTAAATGCGGGAAATAGATTAGAACTACTCTTATTATATGCATAATAAGACTCAATACCAGCGGCTGTGATTCTTCGCAATCCTCATTGTTGGAAAATTCAATTAAAGCTTCTCCTCACCTTATTTGATCAACGGGGAATACAGTTTTTAGCCACGATCCTCTCGTTTGTATCAAAGTCTACTCCATACAAATCCCTCTAATTGATGTCGGGCTGATAGTGTGGTTGAATGATAGAGGCAGAGAAGCAAAAACTGAAGACACGACTATGTTTAGGCGAGCCGGAGTGACGTCTGGAGAATTATGCAAGCATATGAGGGCTTGGGCGCACGTGTTGCCGATGTCTGAACGCACAGACGCGGTGCTTCTTTCGTGAACATCGGGGTACAGAATAATTCATTTCTCCGCACGGTGGCCAGACGACAAAATGGACGAGGTAAGGAACTTTCCAGCCACGTCTGGAGGCCCTCTGCTGGCTCAATTGTTGGTATCGCCAGGACATTAGTTCTCTTGTGCTCATCTGCTCAGCACTGGGGCCTTCAGTCTCGCTGACACGCCAACACGTTTTCTTCCCATTCATCTGTTACACACACACACACACACACACACACATATATATATATATATATGCCGGTCTTGAAGTCTAGATGTATATATACACGCACGCATACCTACACACATGAGTAGGCAAGCCCATTCACATACAGCAACGACATACACATGCACAATACACTCGCACAAATGGAACTCCCATGCGTCAGGTCGCGTTTTGCTATCTGATATCTGGTCCTCCATGCCCTGGTTGCTCTGGTCGCACTGTCGGTTGGCGACAGTCTCTTCTGAGCCTTTCTGAACAAGCAAACAGACATGCGTACACGAGTCCAAGTGGACAGGAGAGGGTTAGGGGCGTAATCTCATTTTTCCCGCTTATCACAGTTGCTATTGTCTCTGGCACATGTCCAATTCGGGAATCTTTGCAATTGGCATATGTCGAGATGAGGAGGTGGCGTGGATGGTCTGTGATGAATTGCCTGCCACGCCCTTCGCGGTTTCAAATCGTCCTTCTCAGGTTGGTTGCCGCGTTGCTGCACCAGTTACAGGCAGGCAAGACGGCAAAGCCGCAAGGATAGGGACAGACGTTGGGC